CTTTGTCTTGTATTGTCTTAAGAAATCCTTTTCATTACAGATTGTGTAGAGGCTTGTATCGTTGACTTGGTCATAATTTTTGGAGCGTTGTGGTGTAGGTTGGATCGCCTGAGTCCTTTTGGAGTCAATGGAACTAGGTCACCAAATGAAAAAAGAAAAAAGTTCACTTTTTCAAACTTAGCAAGCAAGTGTTTCCCAAAATGAAATAAAATAACAAAATTTAAATATCATAAAAATTAAATATAAATTAAACTAATATTAATTAAAACCTAATTAGTTTTAAATTGAGTTAAATGATTATGAAAATAAGATGACTAAACACGGATAAAAAAGTCGGGTGCCAAAGTGCTCGAAAAAATCAAATGAATGCACCAATATGATCAGCGTGAAATACATGTATTGGAAAAATACAATGTTTGGTCAAATTTTGAAATAAATTTTACCCGGTTAAAAGGTTCAAACTGATCAAAATACGACCGAAAAGCAGTCAAAAAATTAAAACGGGCACACTAAGTTAAACTACGCAAAACGTAGATTAATATAACTGATGTCTGCAAGCTCGATTTTAAAGTTTTCCATCCACTAATTTTACGTACAGTTGACCTTTAGTTTGACCGAATCGTCTATAAATCCACCAAATTTATTTTGGCCGATAAATTAGGCCTTATGCATGATGAAAGACATGATATGCTATGTAGATGATGTAAAGTGAAAATATAATTAGATGAATGAAAATATTAAAATGTATTGTCAAAATTTGGGGTATGACAGATGCCCCTGTTTAATCTTCTTGAACCTGAAGGTATGAATGGCAATGACTTTCAAACATTCAAGGTAGAATAGGATTAAATACTAGAATACCTAGAATTTTGACCGAATGCAGATGAAATGGTATGATATGCAATGAAAGACTCTGAATTCTATGGGGAATGATGCCACAGACTATCAAGGCAGGATTCCATTAGGGAAAAGGTCTAGAACTTCTGGGACATAAGCAATGGATCTCAAAGAGATACAACTGAGGAATACAAGATATTATGGAAATTTGTTAAGGTGACAAAGAATATCCATCAATACTTGAGGAGAGAGGGATAAGCCCTGGAAAAGGTAGTAAGAACATCTAAGAATGCCATTGGCCAAGAATGATAAAGATATCCAAGAATAGAATTGGATAGAGGAAAGATTCATCTTTAGGAGACAAACATCAGTGACATCCAAGAATGGCATTGGATGAAAGGAAACACAATATCCAGGAATGACACTGGATGTAAAGGGATTACAACATCCAAGAATGGCATTGGATACAAAAGAAAGACAACGCCCAAGAATGGCATTGGATGTGGAAGCAAGACATCCAAGAATAGCATTGGATGATAGTGAGCAACATGACACCCAAGGATAGTAATGGATGAAAATGAGAAACAACATTCATGGATGGCATTGGACGAAACGGAATCACAATATCCAATAGTGGCATTGGATGAAAATGAATAAATGACACCCAAAAGTAGCATTGTTGAACCATCATTGAGATGATTCGACCAAGGTTGGCATAAATAAATTGTATTTGTGGCATCATCAGTGTTGAAGTAACTCAACAATTTGTCTAGAAGTTGTACATATTCATCAGGATCTCCCTTTCCGTCATAATAGGTTAGTTTAGACAGCTTCCTCGCAACTTCGCCTAATTTTAAGGTAGATGTATTGAACCATCTGATTATGGCTCCCTCGCAACTTCACCCCTCATGTTGGGCATATATGAGATTCTACCAGTATTTATGTGAGCAAGTGAAGGGAAGACCTTGTGTGTTCCTTTTTCTTCACCTTTTCAAATTTCTTTTTGACCTGGCGTCTCTGGCTAGGGATAAAGGATTACTCTTCTTCAAGTCGATCATTCACAATTTCAAACCTCTTTCAGAGATATTGGCACTGGAGTAAAGGGTCAATGTACTGACCTTTTTCCCAAGTATTGGACTGGGGGTCACTTTTTGCTGAGAAATGGCTTTTTCACATACAGTGGTGTAGCGGTAAAAATCGTGAGTATAAGTTATTGACTAACTTAACTCAAAGAAAACAAGAGTCGCCACCGCACTTTTATTTTATCCAAATAAAGGAAAGGAAAAAGAGCGAACAAAACCAAAGAGTTCTAAAATAAGAACACGAGACAGAGATCAGGGTAAGGGGGTTGGTTACGCAATGGGAAGGTGTTAGCACCCAAAACGTCTATAGTACTCTATAGGAGCCCTTTTGAAATATTTACGCTTTTTGGTTTGAAAATGGTTTGTTTGAAAAGAGATTGGGGAGATGAGAAGAGAATTATTTTTTTATATTTTTGTGTTTGGAGAGACTTATCGTCTCATGCCTACGTACCCATAAAGTGCAATATGGAATCAAAACCCCGTAGTTCGTGGTATAAATGACAAAATTTTGTTGGTTTTGATTGATTTTAGATGTTCAAACAAGTCGTCATTTCAAGGAGAAAACTGCGACTATCCACCCACGAGTATTAAGACAACATCTGCGTCACATAAAGATGGAGGATTTGCTTGGATTATCAACAAGACTATCACTCAACATCAACGTGGAAAATGTCAAAGTCTTAATAATATGGGGAATAGGAGATTTACATCTCAACTATAGAAATGAATCATGTCTAAACTTTATGAAAAAAGTTTTAAAGTGAAAAAGTGCATAAAAGGCACAAAAAGAGTTGATGAGTTTTTGTATTTTTTATGTCTTTTGAAATTGGTCAAAGCATGATTAACATTGATTGACTTTTATTAAGAAAAAAACAAAGTTTAAAAATCACTTGACAAAAGTCAAGGTTTTATTGCGAAAGCGGTTTGGAAGTTTGAAACCAAGAAGGTTTTGAAAGAGGGAGAAAGTTTTGAAAATTTAAGAAGGGGAGGAGATGAAGTGACTATCCTAAAAAAACAAAATAAGAGCTAGAGATAAGAAAGATCTAACCGACTTATAGCACACTCCAAAGCAAGCAAAAGAATTCCATCCGATTTAAAGCATAAGTCAATGATCGAGCCAAATAAAGGCTAAGATCCACGATACTCCAAGCATAGGGAAGAAAGTCCTAATCCTAAGTCCAAAATGTCCATGAAGTCCAAGGTCTAAGAATGGTCCGAGAGCATAACCACAAAATTAATAGCACCAAATTTTTTAGATGTTTTATCCTTTATTAGTGTTTTGAACAAAGTATGGTCCAAGTGGACAAAAGAAAAATGACATAAACATAAACAAAGATATGGTATGGAATGATAAAATGGAAGCATAAAAGTAAAAAAATAAGGAGTAAGAAGAGAATATAAACAAAATTAAACAAGGATATTGTTAGTGAATTAGTGGTTAGTGGTTAGAACATATGATCAATGATGATTAATTCTTGCACTTAGACCAAGATTAATGAAAATTCATTAGAGGATTGATAGAATCAAAGCCTCCTAACAATGATTTTCATAGGTATTGGAGTTAAGACAAGCAACTAAACATACTTGGACTTTTAAACGTAAGTTTGAGCCACGAATGATCATTTTCCGATTAAGGGACAATTTAGCGCTATGTTAAGCAATCGTAATCGGGTTTATGTAGAAACCACGACTATCTGAGGCCGGTCAATAAAATGTTTGTGTTAATACATGTTAGAGAAATGATATATAAATCAATCTCCTAAAACATGCCACACAAAAAGAAAAGAGGTAGTGATCTCATCATAATCAAGATTTTTAATTAATTAATCAAAGGTAATCTATCACTATTCCAAAGTAAGGAGAATTATCTCAATGATTATTCGTCCATAGATTTGAAATAATGAAGATTAAACAACTTTGATAATCAATTATCTATGATCCATAGATTTCATCGATCAAAAATAAAAATAAAAAAAAAGAAGAAAGAAAATAAGAATGAAAAGAAATCACAATTTGAATCTTAAATCGATTAAATTATCATCAATATCAATCACCTCTCTTGGTGGATAAAAATCAACACCCAAAGTCCATTGATATTGATGAAATCTTATCAAAATTCAAGATCCAAAACCACCAACAATTAATCAAAATATTTTCAAATAATTTTTTAATGCTTTCTTTTTTTCAAGAATATTATTATTAGTTTATAAAAATAAACTAATAACAATATAAAAAAAAGAAAAGATAAAAAAAGAATAAATAAATGAAAAAACAAATTAAAAGGAGAAAGAGAAACAGAAACTTCATCTTCTCCTTTCTTCTTCGCGGTAACTTCTTCGCACCATTTTTTTCTCGAGCTCAAAGCTTGCTTAGATCAAAGCGACGGGATGCGAAAATTACACCGAACAGATCGAAATCAAAAGCTCTTCACAATGGTACCAACAATTCAGAGAATCACAACAAAAGATAACGGATCGAAAATGACGGTGAAGCTCAATCTACCTTCAAACTCAGGTAAGAAATCAATCCAAGCTTCTTCTTGCTTCTCTTCTTCTTCTGAACGAATTCTGGTTCGAAATTGATCTGTGTTTGAGGTTGATTTGAAGTTAATTTGGTGGAATGAAATATGAGAAGAGAATGAACGAAGGTTTTTTCTGGTGGTGAGGAATTGAGGAAGAAAATCAGCAGAGATTTTTTGGCTTGAAAAGCTTGAGGAATAGAGTGAGGGATGAATTCTATTTATAGATGAGAATGAGTGAAAAATGATTTGCAGTTTGTGAGAATTTTCTGCCGTTTTGAAGTAGGTGTGTTGTGCGTGATATTTTTTTTTGCTGGTATTTGACATGTCGTTTTGAACTTTTTCTTCTTTCAGCTCACTTAAGTGACATGGATAACTTGTGGGGTCAGCTACATGGCTGAGATTATATTCACATGGCTTGCAATATGGCTTGGATAAGTGAAAATAGTCTGGATAAAAAATAAAGCTCTGTTACCACAGAATTCTATTTTCTGTCGCTTCTCGATGTCGCCATTTCCCATTGATAATATTGAAATTTCCACGCCGCAATTGATGTGCAATCATTAAAACCAAGATGCGGCATTCCTACGTCTTTCACAAACAAGCCGAGCTGAGCCGGGAACAGACTTCATTTGATGCAGGATTATCATAATGCAGAATTTGAATCCTCCCAACCTCCGAAACTCTTGGCGAAGATTATACCAAGCAGAAGCATTCAATCCATCGTGTCGTAGTGCATCCGTCAAAAAACTTCTGACTGCAGGATTTGATTTATTACTGCAATGTCGAAGTATTTTAGCAGTGGAGATTAAGCTCAGAACATGGCCAGGATCAGTGTTATCGGAGCCTGGGAACTGTAAAAGTTTAATAATTCCCTGTTCTTGAAAGACGCCTTTTTCAACAAGCTTAAATGCCTTAATGGCAGCTCCTTCCTCCAATATGGACTTTGAAAATGGAGGCATGCCTCCAGGAGTAATACCCCCAACAAAGACAACAAGGACCAGGGCACGCCTTCCATCAGGTACTTTTGCCATGCTGGTTGGAATCCCTGATAAAGTGTCAAATGATAGGCTGTTTGAGAACCCTCCCCTTCTAGTTTCCAAATGAGGTCCAGGCAGCAGTTTCAAAATTTCTTCAACAGGGCGCCATCCAGATCGAATGGCATGCTGGACAAGACGAATGCTAAGTGGTGCATATCCGGAGAAGACGTAAGCAATATCATTGGGGTTGGCTGTATCAGTGTCTTCAACCACAAGCTCCAGAGTACGTTTTATAGTAAGCCAATTGCTTCTTGACTCCTGCTTATGGATCAATTCTTCAATATACTCAAAGCATATGTCATAACTTTGGGCCTCAATAATTGTATGCTCCATATCAAGCTGCCCGAGAAAAGTTGGCTTTGATGTGAATGTTGATAGATGCTGAGCAAGATTTATGTGCCTAGTCATCTCTGGCAATGAGTTCAGCTTTTTCACGAAGTCCTTCAACTCAGAAACCGACTGCGTTGTTGTTGTCATATCTGTGTAGTCTTGCTTCATGGATGTTGCTTTTTGACGCAAAATCTGGACTACAACTTCAAAGTTGAGATCCCGTATCTCCTTAAAAAGCTTGTCACTTGAATTAAGTGGGACTTTAGTTTTTTTTTCATCTTGTGGAAGACCCAAAATAGATCCATCAATCTCAACAGAACCATTGTTGATGTGAAGAAACTCGTCAAGTAGCCCCTCATACGTTAGTTGGGAACACAAAGGAGTAACCATATCCACCTCTCTATCCAAGAGGATTACTGTATTTATCTCTGGCATAACCATATCAGATGAGTTAACCGGCTCTTCAGCCTGCATTCGATTTAGGATGTCTGCAATACGCACAGATGCTTTTCCTTTTGCCCGCACATTTGGTATCACTCCAAAAGAAAACTCAAGTTTGTGAATGGCCTTTGCAATATGCCAAAGTGAGCTTGCATCGCCATCAACCAGGCATTCTTTATAAGAAAGACCAAGTTCAAACGATAGCACATCCTCATCCATTGGCAACAAATACAATGGATATTCCCCTATTGTAAACATATCATGTAATTTCTCATCCTCAAGGACTTTCTCACAAACAACAGTGCGACGGGGGACAAAATAAACATGATATTCTCTCTGTAGTCCTTTAGATACATCATCGTGAACATTAGAGCATATGAATCTCATCAAATCCGGCTGAGAGCGCACAAGGAAAACAATTTTTGTACAGTCACTTTGAATTGGGTCAGCCGAAAGATGCCGCAACTCAACCCCTTGCTCCTTGAGAATTGATGACTGTATGATAAGCGAGAGAGAGTCTCCAAGCTTGGGATCAATGACCAAACACTTTTTTCCTCTAACATTCTTGAGGATGTTGATGAGCTCTTTTTGCGAGTGTTCCCTGATGGATGTGAGATTGACGGGAGCATTCTCTAGGTTGGGAATCTGAGCCATTGAGAAATATATGAACACTACAAATTGAAATCAAAATTCGATTCAAATGAGGATCGTGCTGGCTTTGGACATGCTCGTCGAGTTCTGCCACTGTTAATTGAGGTTCGGTTCTCATTTGGCCCAAATATAGATGGGAAATAATCAGGAATGACATAACCTAGAACTAGGTTGGCATCTGTAATTGCCAACTCTCCACCTTTGCGATAACATACAGGACCCGGGTGTGCTCCAACTGATTCTGGTCCAGCTTGAAAAGCGCCAAATTGGAACTTCAACTCTGAACCACCTCCAGCAGCCACAGTGTTTATGTCAAGCTGAGGTGCTTGAATTATGGCACCAGCAATAGCAACAGCGCATTGAGCAGCTTCAGCCCATGACTGCATTTCCTGATGTGCATCACATAAATGAAGTAACCACATTATATGAAGATCAGGAACTGGAGCAAATGCCATTGCCAGTTTATAGAAGCCTTCAGCTGCAGCATATCTGTCCATAGTCATTACCGGGGCCAATAGTGCATGTTCCAAACTACCATCAAGGGCCAAAAGAAGACTGTCAGAGAGATATTTCACCTCTGACCATGACCATCTATTCTCTGCCTTTTTTTCTGGTATGGCTATAAGAACACTCTCAAGTAATCCACACTCCTCCAACAGGAAAGAACTTTTAGTTTCATCTTTCATTTCCTCTAATGACTTTCTAAGTCTCCGTGCTTCACCACTCTCTTCTAGGCTACCATCAGATCTCATTTGAGTCACTTGCACATCTGACATCAACTCTGATAAAGTGATGATCAACATGACTCTTAATCTTGCTGTCTGCGTAAAGTAATGAAATGAACACCTCACAAGTATTTGAAGCCCAACAACTGCCCTTTTCCTGATGTTGTCATTTCTGAAAACTGCAAGCCGAAGGAGATGGAATGTGACTTGCTTTAGAAAACGATCATTTTCTCTTGCCATTAGAGTTGCCCCGTGAAAATCAAACACACTGTTGAATACAGGAAAAAATGCTTTCCAAAAAGACAATGGCTGATTTCTAGATAGAAAGCTCATGAATATAGCTGTGATGCAATCAAGTTTGCCAACATCAGTAGCAATGCTATGTGATGCTGCCATCACTGAAAACTTTTCAGTCACTTCCAAGACCTGAAGACTGACAGAAGCACTCAAATTTTCTTCCCATAATTCCAATTTTTGCCTCATCTGTAAGTTCAATTGAGTTGGAGTAATTGTCGTTCACACCCAAATTGGACTGATTAGCTTTACTGGATGCATTCAAAGAAATATTTAGTTTGGCGGTTCTTCCCGTATAACGCCATGAGGGTAAACGATGAGGAAGGGAAGCAAGCCCAATCCTTTGGGTTAACTTTATCAGATACTTGCGGAGCAATGGATTTTTAGCCGCAATTGAGGACTTGTACAACAATGATGTGTCATTCCAAACGACAGGAATTACATCAAGCAAGAGATTCCGACTGCCTGCCTTGAAAATAGCAGCCAGTGCTTCAATGGTACCGAGTACTTCAAAATGCTGGAGTACATCTGCAGTTACAGAAGTCATGACCTCATGTGTCCACTCGACGAAGCTAGTAAAGGCTTTTGGCATATCTGGACGAGTAAGTAGCCTCGAGAGCACTAGTCCAGCCATAGAACTCGTAGGCCCGCCAGTTGAGAGATAATCCTTACAGAACCCTATTATCCTCAACACAAGAGGTACAATCTCAAACTCACTTAGATTATCACTACTCACAATGCTAGTATCAACACTAGATATATCAAAAGGAACCAGCACAAGTATATAAAGCCACAACAACATCACGCATTTCGCTTCATTTTCTCCCGTGCTTTCCACTCTCGACGATGAAACTGATTTCCTCGGATGACACTTTTCAAGTAGAGACACCGCAAGTTCCAGATCAGAAACTTGATGTGGAAAGAATCTAATCACTGATTTGTATCCACAAACATGAATTAATGAATGCACAGCTATGCATATTGGATTCACTATTTCCAGAATTTCGTCGGAAACTACTCCGAGTTCGATTGTTCGTGATCGAATAATGTTCATCAATGGCGGAACTATGCTTTCTAGGTAAGGCTCTAGAAGTTGACCTTGCTCTTGATACTTATCCATAATGGATCTGATATCGTGAGCGGATGCAAGATCGGATACGCGGCCATTGGAAACGGTGTCGTCGATGAATGCTTTGACGAGGTTCCATTCTTGAAGGAAGTACTTTTTGAGAACTTTCTCCTTGGAATCGTGCTCGTCATTTTCGGCTTGATTCATCGCCGTCGCTGTAACTGCTTCTTCTTCTTTCGGTTGTTCCATTTTCTGCTACCGCAAACTCTACATAGTTACAGTTTTGTTCTGCAAAAACACTTGAAATGAGTAGAATCGTGATTCGCGCCTTGGATAAACTAAAATGCTGCTTTGGAATTTGTAGGGAACAATGTTCCCAGATGAGTCAAACATGAAATCAGTTTGGGTTCCTGCTTCCATATTCTTTAAATATTGCCCATATCTGATTCTGCAGTTCAAGGTCTGGTGATTGACAGCTTCAACATCTCGCACAACTATATCATTATTCTCAAACTGCATCTCAACTGCTTGTGAGTGAATGTTTAATACATCTGCTTGCGGCGATCTGTTTATGGCGATTCAAGACATCAACTTTATCGTTCTGCTCCAACAACATGGAAAGTATCTCGATCCGACCAGCAGCAAAAACTCCTGCCACAATGTAAACAATGGTCAAAGGAAGCTCAGTGAACCTCTCAAACCTCTCCTGCGATCCAGTTCTGAGCATTGCTCCGAAGCACCACACCGGCGAGGCAATGAATTACATACCGTCTCAACCTCAACTTCATGGCTCAGTAAGTGATAAAATATGTATTCGCTGACATTTGTCTCAATAAACTCACATTCACACAAATTTGCATTGTGACAGATGGAGCCTTCAGCATCAACATTCCAAAACTTGGCATATTGAAGATTTGCTCTTTCCATTTAAAATCTTAAATAACTTTGAAAGTTTGATGAATCTAGCAGTTTTTGAAGTGCACCAACACAGTCTTCAACCTGATCAATAAGCGCAGCAGCTTTCTTGTAGTTGGAACCGTAAGTGATAGCATCGGTGTGGCGGACAATCCTTTGTGAACCAATTCTGACTTCATCTTATTGGTAACAGACTCCAATTCCAGCTTTGCTCAAGCAACTCTTCTGATTTAATTGTGACTTGTAGATCAATTAGCATCTCTAGTAACATATTTCTAACAATCACATGCTTTCCCATTGATTCTCTCATAATTGGACGTTGTGGAGCCAACCCTGGTGAATCAAATGTCATTATCACAAATCTAACCACATTTTCAAGCTCAGAAGATAGAAACCCATCTTCCAAAATGACTCCAAGCAACACAACCAATTTTTCAAGGACAGGAACTTCAACATCACCCCTTTGTAATGTAACTAGTAAATGTTGAACAAGGTTGATTCGCCGCAAAATTGTAAGGTTATGATTTCTGTACCAGTGCATAGACACTAAGTTTTTTTCAAGAAAACCAAGTAATGCAATTTGGATTGAAACTGAGGCCATCACCCACAATGTCCAATCCAACAAGATATGTTCAACCATGTCCGCATTTGACAAGACAATGCAATTTGAAGTTTCTGCAGCAATATCAGTATTTTCTAGCTCTGAAATGTGACTAAACAAATCTTTTAGTACGGAAAAATCATCCATGTCTCCATGAGACCCAATTGAAGAATTTTCATCCTGAAACTTTGACAAAAAACTATCCTCGAGATTGGCTTCCACCACGGGTAATTCATAGTTGAAGCAAACCCTTGATAGTTTGACCAAGATGAGGTCAAACGTCCATCTGATTTAAACTTGAATGAATGTCCTTGCCATCAATCCCTTTTGTAAAATCCTAAACACACAGAGAAGAAGAAACAGACAAATTGAAAAATATTTTTGGTATTTTAGTTAGAGATTAGTAAACAGAAACAAACATAAAGTAAATAAGAAACACAAGGGTGAAAGAACCACAAAGTATGATCTTGTTTGTGGAATGATATGCAAATGAAATGTGGGATCTTAGGGGTAAAAATTAGGGTATTACAGCTGCCCCTATTTAAGATTCTTCTATCCGGAGATATGAAGATTAACATCTTTGTCTCGACTAGATAGAAGAGACTTAAATATAACAATTAACCCAATTTTTAGCCCTAAGAGACCACAAAATGATATGATTATGCTAATGATATGCGAACATAAGACTTCTGTGGGGAAATAATGCCACAAGAGACAAACAAAAGCTCGGGAGAAAAAAGAGAGACTCCATATGAGAAAACAAAAGAGCAAGATCCTATTCCAATAAGGGAAAGGAAACGACTCAATGGGGAAAGAGATACCAACCGCCAGTTACTGGGCGAAGATATTCGAACCAAAGAGAACAGGTAAAATACTTTCTACTGGTTACTGAGTAGAAAATAAGTGCAAAAACACGAGAGAATTGTTATCTACCAGCTACTGGGTAGAAAACAAAGAAATGTATTACCTATTACCAGTTACTGGGTAAAAAGTAATCCACTCGTTGAAATATAATCAACTACCTGTTACTGGGTAGGAAAAGAAGCAACGCCAACTACTGGTTACTGAGTAGTTTAGCGAGATCAATAAACTTGAATGAAAGGGGTTGCCATCTATCGGTTACTGGATAGGGTAAACAACATGTCAACTACCTGTTACTGGGTAGGACGGACTCGACTACCTGTCATTGGGTAGGAGGAAAAGATAAAAGGTCAACTACCTGACACTGGGTAGGACAAACATGCTCGACTACCTGTTACTGGGTAGGGGAAAGAGATATATCATCAGCTACTTGTTACTGAGCAGCTCCAAACACACAACAAACTTCTCAAATAAAGAGACAACCATTTGTTGGAAAAAGATATTAACAACTCTGGCGAGGATCTTTAAAAGAGATACAAGCAGGTTGAACCATGCAATAGAATTCTTATCGGGAGTTATTCCACAGAAATTCCAATTGACAGAAAAGCTGGTCGGATAAAGATCCATCATTTCACAATAAACTTCTCTGTTGAGGATGAACTAGAGAAATGTTATTTATTGCGAAGGTAAATTTCTGGAGATTACACAAGCTGCTCAAATAAAGAGGCGTCTACATGAAGTTGCATAAGTAATTACCAAGAGAGTGTTATCAAAACACTACTGGGAAAATCAAATCTTCATCTTCTGACGAGGATCAATAACAGATTTCTGCTGAAGAAAATAAATCCTCAAAACTACCTTTTCATCATCCCGGTTTCACAGCCCAGGGAAAAACCAAAGTAACTGCTGCAAGAGACCAAAGTTCAATCCAGGAACAAACTGGAAAGAAACGGTCAAACAGGACTCGACCCAATGAGGAAATAACTCAACTGGGGAACAATTCCATCCAGATAAAAAACTGGGGAGGAAAGCTAAACAAAACATCTTCCACGAGGCATAAACTCAGTGGGGAATTAAAAATGATAGGCATTTTCTGCTTAGGGGTTGACACTCTAATGAAGAGAGGACACACGCATTCTGCGGGATAACAACATCGGGAAAAGGGAAATACTAACAAAAATGCAGGATGCATAATGCAACAAAGACATGCTATGTTCAACCAAAATGAATGCGCATGCAATGAGTATGAATATGCTGATAAATCAGACAAAAAGGGCAAACAGAGGGTGAACAAAACACCACAACACCACTGAAATATTCGGCTAATCTCTGCGAGTTAGAGATATCATTGGAGATCGTGCTGGGGATCAGCAACAGAAAATCTGCAAGAGATACACAAGAGCCATCAAAGGAAAATAAATCCTACTACAAGGCTTAAATCTCGCTGAGGAAATGGAGATACCGCTTGGGGAAAAGACCCCAAAGATCAATCTTCAACCCTTAATAATTCAACAAGAGGGAACAACAATATGAACTCCGCTTTGAGAAAAAAAACTGCTGGAGAAAAAACGTAGCAACACAAATCTTTCAACCTGCCAGGGGAATAAGAAGTTAACATCATAGCAAAAAGTCAAACTGTGGGGGATTTTAAATCAACACCCAATCACAAGGTGAGAGAAAACCCGACAGGTGACTGCTATGTCAACATTTCTCAACCTTGTTCTCTACTTGGGGAATAATCCAAAGCAAATGCATAACCTCCGCTAGGAATCATCAAAGACAAAACTCCACCTGGGCAAAATCATCAAGGAGAAGTGGTCTTCAAATTTCTCAACTGTCCGATCATAATCTGGTTGAATGAATAAAACATATCCATCATTTGAATCAAGACTTTGCTGTGGAAAACCGTTCAACACTCGTCTGGTTTATCCAAAGAAACAAAACTCTGCTAAGGGAATATCAGCAAACTCTACTGAAGAGACCTCAATATAGCTCAAATGGGGAAACATCAACACAACTCTACTGGGGGGCTGCCAATAAATTCTACCAGAGAGGCAAGAAAGAACCCTGCTGAAGAGAATACTTACGCTTTTCGCTTCAAGATTCTACCATTCTTGGGATTACTATTGACATTCTTTCTTTTATTTTCACAAATCAAAGAAAAATGTTTTTATAATTTTCAAAATTTAAATCAATTATTCACATTTGTTTCAAAAATCATCATCAAAAATAAAATGAAATTCTATAAACAGAAACAAAATAAGAATTGCAAACAAAGGGACAAAGGCCCAAATTATATTGATAGAATGGTAGTCCGCAAATGGCGTAACTCCATGGATCATTACAAAGTTTGAAAAATGGTAAGTACAATGGAAAGTTCTACATTGAAATACAATGACCATTATTCTCCCTAACAACTTTGAATTCCAACTGTGCTTGAGACTTCAGCGGAGAATATCTGAAGTAAAACCTTTGATAGGAAATGTTGCTTCAAACGATCAAGACTGGCCAGATGCAGTTACTTGCCATGATCCCTAACTTTTGCCTAGATTGCCCTCTCGGGTTTTCAATCTACCGGGATAATTATTTCTGTTTTGTCTCTAATTTTTGCCTGGACCGCCCTTTCGGGTTTTCAATCCACCGAGACGCTCATTTTTGCCTAAGCCGCCCTTTCGGGTTTTCAACTTAGCGAGCTGTTCTTTTATTTTTTAGGCGAAGTATTTCTTGACTGCATCGGCATTCACAGGACGAGTGAACTCTTCTCCATCCATAGTTGTAAGAATTAATGCACCGCCAGAGAAGGCTCTCTTAACAACATATGGGCCTTCATAATTAGGAGTCCACTTGCCCCTAGAATCAGTAGTAAAAGTCG